GTAATATTTTTAAAGTGGTAGATGTAGGGCATTGATTCATATTCAGGTCTTTATTGAATTTTCAAGGCTTCATCTCTTTCTCTGTATTACAGTTAAAGTATAAAACCCTCAGAATTTCCTGTTGGAGAAAAAGGAAATCAAAGGCTATAAAAAAGTGATCCAGCAATACTTTGAAGAACATCCATTGGCATTAAACGAGCACCAAACACTAATACAGTATTGCAAAGATCAGCTAGTACTTAATTATCAGAAAACTAAAATCGTGGCCTTTGCCCAAAGGCCCGAGAAGCATTCTTGGAGCATAGGTGACCACAAGATTGAGCAGGTCTCCTGTTTAAATAACTGGGACTAATCCTTCATTCTGCCAATAGTAGGAAAACCCACGGGGACTATATTGCTGAAAATGCTCATTTGCCATCTTTAAATTCTCAAGACAAGAGTTGTCCACTTTATATCTGCAGCACTCAAATTAAAGCCAACTCAATAGCACAACTTCTTTAGGGTGCCCAGCTGAGCGTCTTCACCAATTTTGTATCACTAGAACTTGTTCAATCCAAATTACTAAGATGGGCCCTCCACCTCCCAAAGGTGGTCTCTTCACCTCCCAAATGTCTCTAATGCCACCCTGAGACCTCAATAAAGAGATTAGAAGATGAATAAGAATACTCAGCTATTGGCTCAGATTATCCTTTTTCCCCCTTGGCCTTGCCTTATTTATCCTTCATAGTATGATTTTCAGTCCACATGGGAAAAGGCAGTGGCAAAATTTCTCTCCTGGTCTTCTTCTCAGTATGGATATAATAAGCCCAAATCACTCATTAAAACAGCATATAGCAGTGACAGAGCGCTAAATGGATCTAGCCATGTTGCCAACCTTTATTGCCAGTGAAACCAACAAGTACCCTATGACATGCTTAACTAAACTTGAAGTACCTAAGCACTGGAGAGTCAACAAGAAGATTCCCTACCTGCAGAGACAATGTCCCTGTGACTCTGTACATGTAGAAATACAAAACATATAGTTCTTCATTTGGGAACATTTATACTAGCCTTATCTCACCATTATTGCATAAATACCCAGGACAATTCTACACTTCCCTGCTGCTGGTGCTTTAGGAGTATTGTATTATTGGACTGTGACCATCAATCTTTCAAAACTCAAAGTAATAAATTGGAAAAGGCCTCTTTCCTCAACACAGGAAGCTGAATTAAAGCATGCTTGATTGCATGTATTTAGTGATACAGCCTTTTGAAACAGTGAATAGTTTTCACAAGTCAGAACAATGATAAATATCCATTCCTGTTAAAGAATTTTTATATTGATGGAGAAAACAGAAAACCTTTACCTCAAACTCATTTTTTGCTGACTTACAATGACATAACTGCAAATTTTTAGGCAACCGTATGGGATTGGTTTGTTCTTACCTTCTTCTGAAAAATTTTACTGACTCTGTAATCTGGCCCTCAGTTTGCATAGTAATCTCCTATCCAGGTACTGACTAGCATACCCCTTTCTAAGCTTTCTAAATCAGGGCTTTTCAACCTTTTCACAGATTGTACCACTTTTAGGACATGACAATATTCGAGTACTACCAGTGCTTAGCAAGGTGTCAAAAACTTGAGGACTAAAAAAAGGGGGGATTTGGGGGCTTTATTGGTTAGATTCATTTGTTGTTATAGAAATGGCTAGTTTATAATATTATAGAAAAGTAAAAAGTTGAGGTTCAATGTGAATGCTTCCTTCCTACTGCAATAGTGGAACTCAGAAGTCAATGCCTTTTCTTTTTTTTCCCTTCTCCCCCTCACTTTTCCCTTTTTCTCTTACTCTTCACTCGCAACCCACCCCTCACCCTTTGCTAGCTAAAGCTTCTCTCTTTCACTCACACATTGCTTGCATAAGCTTCTCTTGCTCATTCACTCACACGTTGCTCACAAGATTCTCTTGCTCATTCACTCACACATTGCTCGCACAAGCGTCTTACTCTCATTCACTTACATGCTTTCACTCATTGCTTGCAAAAGCTTCTCGCTTTCCCTCACGCTGCTCACAAAAGCTTCTCTTGCTCACTCACATGCTCACAAAAGCTTTTCACTCACATTGCTCGCACAAGCTTCTCACTTTTACTCACATTGCTCACAAAAGCTTCTCTTGCTCTTTCACTCACATGCTCACAAAAGCCTTTCACTCACACATTCGCTTTCACTCACATTGCTCGCACAAGCTTCTTGCTCATTCATTGCTCACAAAAGCTACTCTTGCTTTCACTCACACGTTGCTCGCACAAGCTTCTCTTGCTCACATGTTGCTCGCGCAAGCTTCTTGCTCACTCACATTGCTCGCACAAGCTTCTCTTGCTCTCATTCACTCACATGTTGCTCGTACAAGCTTCCCTCACTCTTTCACTCACCCTTCACTCGCAAAGGCCACTCGCTTGCTCTCTCCTTTGCTAACAAAAGCCTCTTCTCTTCTCTTTCTCCGTGTTTTTTTCTCTCCCACCAAAACCTCCTCTCTCCATCCCCCTCTTCCTCTTCTCTTCCGGGTGCACCAGAAATTCCAACTAGCATGCAGCTGCGTAGGCAGATCCTGGGGCTTCTGCCGAGCCCTGCAGCTACAGCTGATCTCCTCCAGGCCTGCATGGCACTGTTTTAGATCGTTCCCTCCCATGCTACACTTAGCTGGGGGGGGAGGTTGCGTACCACCTGCCAGATGCTAAAGTACCATCAGTTGAAAAGTCCTGTTCTAGATAAACCAAGGACAGCTACACACCCATTTCTTCCCCCTCTAAGAAAAATCCTTTCCAAAACATGATTAAAAATGAAAGAGGCATCCCTTCAAACATCTCTGTGCATTCAATCTAGACTGACAGAAATTAAAAAAGAATTATTTTGTTTGAACTTTAAAAAAAAAAGAAAAAAAAAGAAAAAGGTTGCAAAATTCACTTAACTGCATTGCTTAGCAAGGGAAATTTGGGACTCAACTGTGGTTGTAAATCAAGAACTACCTGTAATTTCTAGACATCAACTATACTTCTCTAGTACCTTAGCAGCCTTCATTCAGATTAGCGCTTTCTGTATTCCCCAAACTTTTGTGACATAAAACCTTTCATTTTCATCATGTTCCAAACTAACCAATTTCAGATAAAGAGGCCAAAATTTGTTCAACTTTCACTCTCTGACCAATAGAAATTGTTTTGAGCATGCTGTAACTGGTTAGCATTATATCAATTAAATTTCTGCAAAAATAAAAAATGTAAATTTTGAACTTTCTAACCATTACATTATGATGTAGTGTGATTACGGTATCTGGTTATCATGTCCTTTTTTTATAGTATATCAAGAACAAGTGGAAAACCAAAGCTGTGAATAAATATAGTTATGAATACAGTATTACGGTTAAGAATTAGGCAATAGGAAGGGAAATACTGTATAAAATCTGCTTGAATTTCTAATCGAAAACACTTGCTTTGTTTCCACTGTTTTCACAGATGTTGTTTCAATCAACTTTGACAAAAGTGCTCAACATTTTTTTTAAAAAAATCTTCTTTTCCTACCTTTCATTACAGAAGATGTAAACAGCCTTCATACAGCAAAATAAATATACCATTGAGGTTCTGAAAATTGATCTCAATTCAAAGTTTATGTATTTCTAAGAAACATCAAGAAATAAAATATGCATCACACATTGTAAGCCTTCCAAATTTATTGTCACTAATTATGTGGCAATTCTCTACTTCCTACAAATGGCATTTTTACTTACAGCAAGTGTTATATACACAGACTGAAGACCTACCTTTATTGTAGAAAATACTGTAAAAAGAAACTAATAGAATCACAAGTCATACACCCAATATGAGTGGGAATCCCCATTGGGACAGACAGAATACATGCCTTTGCATACAATGTGTTAAAAAGAAAAAATCTTCAGCCTGTATATTGTGTACTGCAGAATTAAGGGATTTGTTAGGATTTTTTGAAAGGTGTACGATATTGGGAACCTGTTGTGTAGATGTGTTCTAACTTCCAATTCAATGTGTTAACACACGGGAGCTCATACTTAGAAGCCACCCATATAATTATATACCCTACTCCATAAATGGTTATTGTTGGTCATACTGGCAGAAGGAAGAGGCTTTATACCATTATGCATATACATGCATAGGATGTATGCTTTTGACTGGAACAGCATATTATAAAGACCATCTTAGTTATTTTATTACAAGTCAACATAAAAATGATTGCTTTCCCTATGGAAATTTTCTTATATTACTTGGTAAAATTGTTTAACTGATAGTTAACAGTAAAGGGAATACAATAAAATACTATTGTTTCTGTGTCAGATAATCTCATAATTATTTACATCAAACAAATTTAAAACTATTCTCAAACACTCTAAATCACATAATTTCATCAAAACATTTGGGAGGTAAGGATACAATGATCTTGGTTAAGCAATTTAAAACCTCATTAGTAAAATATATGGGCACATACTTCACATGTCTCAAAATAAATTGACTTACTAATATTTGTTTCCATCCTTTTAAAAGTTCATAGACAAACAGTGGAATCCTTTACATTTTTATACAGAAGTCTGAATTTAAGAAGACTTACTATCAAGTATGTATATTTAGGATTGCAACCTTCGAAATGCTTGTTATAAAGTGAACATTATCAAGGAAATTCCAGTAATAACTTCCCAAGCCAAAACCTGTATTAGTTTACATAATAGAAGAGAGTGGCCAAAATTAGTTCAGTCTTCCCTTAATAAAGAAATGCTAGCACCATCAATGATTCTAAAGATCCCTGGTGAGTCTGTTCTTTTTAGTAACTAAAGCTAGTTCTCAAAGAAAACTTGTTATATACAAACCAGCATACTTTAAATTTTACACAATTTACTTTTCCTTTTGCAACATGGGAAAAAAAATAGGATCCAACTGAAATTAGCCTAAAACTCAAACCAATTTTATTGTTAAGTTGGGAAAGGATTCTGATCAAAGGGAAAATCAACAGTGAGTTCCCACAGAGGCAAATGTGGACATTTCACGACGTATTGTACTAAAAGGGGACAGTTCAAGCTCTGTGGTGTATTCATTGTCATTATCATCACTTGTTACTGTAGAAGACTTCTGAATGCACTCATCACAACAGCAACAGCAGCACTCCAAGACAGCTCGGCTGAATGGTTTACAAAGACAGAAGAGGAGAACTGGAGTCACACAAGATTTAAAGAACAAGAGAAACTGACTAATCAGATGGAGAAGGTCCATAGTCTGCTGAGATACCCCCGTGGACATGTAGGCAGTGACAATATTGCAAATGTTTTCTGGAATGGTGCAAATACCATACAAAATGGTCAGCGCCACAACTGTACAATTCATTTGGCTTTCCAGCTGAATCTGCCGCTTGTTTCCACGGGTGCAAGCTTTTTCCACCTTTCGGATTTTCCTGGCAGTCACCAATGAGCAAGTGATGGTAAAAAGTGTCGGTAAGCAAAAGTAACATCCAAAGTACCACCAGAGCCTTGCACTATCATATGTAAGTGCTAACACATATATTGTGTCAGGTAAGTGGGGAGAGACCTTGACCACACATCGTTCCACAGGTGGATTCCCACTAATTTCAGAGTTTTCTTTAGTCAATTGGCGCAGAACCACTTCAGGAAGAGCCAGCAGTAAAGCTCCAATCCATATCACAGCCAGTTTGGCTGTTGTGGATGTGCAGTTTTCAATCATTTCATAATACATTTGCACGTTGGTGGCAGCCCGAAATCGGTCTATGCAGAGGGCACATAATGTGAAGGTTGTTACTCCAAGAGACGCTACCTGGATAAGGAGGAAAAATAAATAAATCAGAATTTAGATACGAGGATGGTGGGATATGCACAATTTGATACAGAACACAAAATATCTAGATTTCCAGAAAACTACCAGCCTAACCTATAAATTTGTTATAGTAGGGTAATGTCTCTTTATTAATGCAGCACTTCCTTTAATTTTTTATTTTTATTGAAATTTTTCTTAATAGAATATATAAATTAAAATAAAAGCAATTGGGAAAATAAGGGAAAGAGGAAGAAGAAAAGTCTGGTGGAGAAGAAAGAGGGAAAAAGCAGTGACTTCCAACTTCTCATGCAGTAAGTTGCATAGGTGCTTTTTCAAGGATCTTTTTCTTTGTTTTGCTTGAAGACCTTTCCCTTCTCATTCAAGAAGCTTCTTCAGTTCTGACTGAATAGTGCAGTGGTGACGAACCTATGGCACACGTGCCAGAGGCAGCACTCAGAGCCCTTTCTGTGGGCACACACGCCATGCCCCGGAGATGGCAACCATCCCTCTTCAACCAGCCGCTGCTAACTCGCTGAAGTCCCACATGGCCAGATGCATCCGAGCACCCATGCGCTCGCTGGCCTCTGTGTGCAGGGGCCGATGGTGTCAGGCAGTCTCACCTTGCCCTGTGACAATGGCACCCCCACCTTGCCTCACCTCACCCCATAGGACAAGCCTCCTGCCCACTGCCCCACCTGCCAGAGACCCCCTGGATCTCCCCCAACCCTGCCCGGCCCCCACTGGCGTCCCTCCCCACAAGCAACATCGAGGTGATCACGCCCACCTTGGCCACACCCACCCAGTCTGCCATGACCACCACAGCAATGCCCACTCAGTGGACCATGCCCACCTGGCACCCACCGATAAATAAGTGGATTTTGGGTTGCAGTTTGGGCATTCGGTCTCTAAAAGGTTCGCCATCACTGGAATAGTGGATGAGAAGCAAAGCTTCTTCAAGCAAAACAAAGAAAGTCCAGTTGCTTTGGGACAACCATGATCTGGATGACTGAGAATCTCCATAGACAGTAAATTACATAATAAATTTATAAACTCAAGTTTTAATTTCTACATAATACTGAGTATTAGCCATTTCTATAACAACCTATTTTAATCATCGCAACCCAAAGTTAAGAGTTTTATTTTTATTCCTCTTTTGAGCAGAAAGTCCAGAAGCGGTTTCTGAGTAGAAAGACAACTAGATACATTCTTTTCCTTAATCAACAATTTACTTTCCCATCACTGCCAGTTCCAGCACTTTTTCAATCCATGGAGGACTTCCTTTAAGTGACATGTATATCTTCCCTTCCTCTGAAAACCAAAATAATTAAAATAGAAATGGTAACTGCTTCAATATATTAGGAATTAAACAAAGGTGTGCCAAAAACTCAGAATAAATCCGTAATAGCATTCTATTATAATTCATTTTCAATCTGATATCATGATCATTGGGATATATACTTAAATAAATAACATTGGATAGGGAGCCAGCCACATGTCACAGTTTGTACAGGATGCATCTTGGTCCAATGAAAAGGTATTACCTAAATTGAAATTAAAGCTGATTCTATTCTGCCAGCAGCAGAAAACCAGTCTAATTGCATTTCTTTTTTTCAGTTCATGCTCTGCTGCTATGCTCCTTTGGCAAATTATCCTGTCTCTGTTAAAAAATGACCTAAAACAAGCATCTACCATCAGATGAAAGTAAATTCCAACCAGGAGCTATTTAAAGAACACAGTGCTACTTTTTCCCCCGTTAGATCATTAGTCCGTTCCACAGAACATCATCTGTTCCAAAAATGGGCTACCTTTTGGCATCCAGGGTCTGAACACAACAAGGGGGGGGAAGGAATCGAGGACTACAAGATGAATAGAATCATATCACACATGCAGATAAGGGTGGGCTTGGGGAAAAAGGGGTTTGTGTGTGTGAGTGTGTTTGCTGCTATGTTATCCATATTTTCCCACCAAGAAAGGCCAGGAAATTGTGTCAGCTTCATGGTCAGATGGTTGTAAAGGATGCAAAATGAGACTGTGGGGACTCAGACGGCCACTACGAGTCGGTAGTAATTAGCAGATCTCCAGTATTTATGGGAGAGAGGTGGTCCTGTAGATAGTCTGGCCCTAAGCTGCTTAGGTCTTGAAAGGTCAACAACAGCTCATTAAATTGTTCCCAAGGGGCAACTTGCATTTAGAGCAGTTCTTTCATTTCCCCTGTTTGCAGTATTCCTTGCAGCTGCTTGCACAGGCAATCCCTGATAAAGCACCTTGCCTTTATCATAATAGGTTGAAATTCAAGCATGGCTAACAGTCTGAATGGTTCAAAATTACTGTAGGTTGGCATATTATCTGTAGCTGTATGAATATATTCTTTGCTACATCTATTCTAAGTCCAACTTTCACAGGGAACAAAAGAACTGGATTTTACCAGCTTGATAACTGCACTTAACCCGAAAGGCCCAGAATTAGGATAGGAATTAGAATAATAGAATTGGGACACTGGAGGTCTTCTAGTCCAACCCCCAGCTGAAGCAGGAGACGTTATACCATTTTAGACAAATGGCTATCTAATCTCTTCATAAAAACCTCCAGTGATGGAGCACCCACAACTTCTGGAGGCAAATTGTTTCATTGGTTAATTCAGGGTTTACCAACTGGGAGTGCAAGACAATATTCCAGGGGGTGCAAAAACTTGGGTTTTCACAATTATAATGTATATGCATAATTTGTTGCCATTATTTTGAACTTTTGTTAAGGGGTGCGAGAATATATCAGAAGTGTTCTAGAGGTATAGAAAAGGTTGGGAGCTACTTTGTTAATTGTTCACACTGTCAGGAAATTTCTTTTTATTTCTAGGTTGGCTCTCTCCTTCATACGTTTCCATTCATTGTTTCTTGTCCTGCCTTGCTTTGTAGAATAGGTTTCCTCTTTTTGATGGCATCCCATTAGATATTGGAAGACTGCTATTATGTCCCCCCTAGTAAGAGTATTCCCATCAATTTCATGAAAATGTGAAACAATGTAGGGCACATAAATAATCTCATAGGTCAATGACACAGGTGTCAGATAGTTTAGTTGCACTACCTTCTATGTGCATCCAAACAGGAAGCTGAAACAATGCCTCTACCATGGCCCAGAGGAATACCATGGCCAATGCTACTGAAGATTGGTAATAGTATTAGCAGGGTCATATTCCTTGAATCTAGCCTCTTGTGTAGTTATTCATTAAAGTCTCAGTATCATATCCTAGATGGCACTCCACTTGAAGTAGGGTGGGATGTTTTATCCAGATGTATCTTGCACTTTAAGACTGTCACCTTCACTAAGAACGAAGGATTGGAAGACTGGCTTATAATTATAAAAATGCTCCCGGTGTAGGAATAGTGTTTTAACTAAAATCAGTATGACTGCCTTCTTTAAAGAGGAGGGAATACATCCCTCATTCAAAGAAACAAGAACTCCCTCGGACAATTATATATATATAGCCCCAACTTAGCCAAAATTCACTAGATGTTGTCTCTCACCTCTAAACATACCTTCCTCTGTCCCATTGAAATATAGTACCGACACACCAGGAGTGAGCTTAAATTTTAGATTGAGGATTCTGTTGGGATGTGAATTTCATATGCACATCTGGACCTGCAAAACTGTTTCAAATGTGCTGTTATTACTCTTTGAATAGTAAGTTATTGAAGTACAACAGTTTTCTTTTTCAATTTGGCACCCTCCATACTTTCTAAATATCAAAGGCGTTTGGTGGCACCTTTTCAGACTTACAAATTTAATTAAAAGGCATCACTTTTGTGAAATACAGCTACAGTTAATTGAAGTTTATAGCTTTCAATTAAATTTGAAAAGGTGCTATCAGACACCTAATTTTTGGCTGCCACAGACTAACACATCTCTTCTCCTACAATCCATACTTTCTAGGAATTTGAAAACTTACAGTACAATCGGACAACACGGAGGGAATCAGATTGGGGACAAAATAAAGTTGTCAGTACTGTTGCCTTTTCATATTTAACAATAATGTCTGACATCATTTATTGTGTAAATTTAGAAGGGAGTTTAGTTCCAAGCAAGAACATCTAGAACTAATTTCTACAGCAGCAAGATAACAAATGTAGCTTTTGTTAGCCTCAAAACAGTGCTGAGTTCTCTTTTCTGCCAAGTCAAAGACAAATTCCTTTCTGTTTTGAAATTTCACACTCAGGATGTAGGGCAGATACAAATGTTTGTGGACCACTTTTAGTCAATGCCAATATTACCTCTTTTCATTTGCAGGTATAAAGAAAGGCATATGGAAAATGATCCCGAAACAACCATTTCCAATACCAGGATGAGCAAGAAATAAAGCTGACTATTTGACCAACGTCTGATGGGCAAAACGCTTGTATGCATGTTGAGAAGCATACATGGATCCTGAAGTTTTGAAGAAAAAAAAGGATTTAAAATGATCAAGTTTTATTAGTACGGAAATTGTCAAAGTTATAATTTCATGGCTCACTGAATGTGCAGACTTGCATTAGAACAGGGGTAGGCAACCCAAAACACTCAAAGAGCCACTTGGACCCTGAAAATCTTCTCAAAAGTCGGGGGTCGTCTTATACGCCCAGTCGTCTTATACGCCGGAAAATACGGGTATTCTATTTTATTCCTTTACACATGTGGTTTGGCATATTAATCATCAAGTTTTCTCTTCCCCCCCCCTCTCGCTCAAACTCTATATTTTAACTGGAAAAGTTGGGGGTCGTCTTATACGCCCAGTCGTGTGTGTGTGTATATATCAATCATAAAGGTAAAAAAGGATATATGCAGTGCTATCTTCATTTTAGATGTCAAAAGGGTCTTTCTCTCTGTCTCTCTCCCTCTCTCTTTTTCTGCCCTTGGTCTGCCAGTCCTCTTTCCCCACTCTCTTTCTTTCTCTCTCTTTTCTCTCTCTCTCTCTCTTTCTCTCTCTCTCTTTCTCTCCCCCCCTCTCTCTCCCTCTCTCCAATCTTCTG